CAGACATTAATACTCCCAGGTCCTTACATTATTTTTCCGCTCTATTGTATGGCCGGAGTCAGTAGTATACTCTGTTCTAGTTATCTCCTCCTCCAGTTTTCCATAACGGAGTAGTTGGAATTTGTCCTCATTGAACATCATATTGTTTACCGTTGCCCACTGGAAAACTTTGTTTATATCTTCTTGGAGGTTAACCGCGTCCTCAGCAGATGACAGCCTCATGCAGATCCTAGTATTATCCGCAAAGGATTATACGGTGCTGTGGTGTATATCTCTGTTTGTCTGATATGAGGATAAGGAATAAGATGGGGGCGAGTACTGTGCCTTGTGGAACAGAGCTCTTCATTATGGCAGCCTCCGATTTAACTCGGTTGACCATTACTCTTTGTGTTCGATTTGTTAGGAAGTTGAAGATCCATCTCCCCACTTTCCCAGTTATTCCTTTAGCACGTATTTTATGGGCTATTACGCCATGATCGCATTTGTCAAATGTTGACCAACCATTTAATACTGAAGTTGCAGAAGTCATTGCTATGTTGTAACAAATGGTAGAGGTAAAAGAACGGCTTACTTGAAGATACGCCGGAAAACAGAAGAATTGAAAGTTAATCCACTTATCAGAATGCGAAGATTGGGGGACACTGAATCTGCACTATGTAAAAGCGTAGAATTAGGGAATTATTATAATGATGGGGGAACGCTAAACCCGTAAGATTATACAGCGCATGGGGGGTGGAAGATATTCAGGGAACTGGAGCACATCCAATTCCCTAGATCAAGAATCCCTGTTCCATCGTCAAAAAGAAAGGAATAAATAATGATCTAAAAAAAAAATATCTAACAGACAGGACTCGCAGTAATGGGTTCAAGTTAGAATAAAAATGGTTTAGAAAGTATATAGGAAAGCATTGGTTTGGTAATAGTTGTAGACGAGTGGAATAGACTCCCGAGTAGCGTCATCAAGGTTTTTGAAAATTAAGGTACAAGAGTGGGTATGAGTTGAACCTGCCTAGCATAGACCAGTAGGTCTGCTGCAGTGCGCCTTATGTCCACGTGTGCGAGAGGCGTCAGGTCAGTGGTATGCCGGCCAACCACCTGATCCCCCTAAACCTCGCCACCTTTTCCACCAACTCGACCCTTCCACTCTCACCTCTCCTAGCCACATGCACCTCGCCTCACCTTGTTTCAAGCCTTCCTTGGACTTGAGCAGGTCACTTAAAACTGTAGTAAGCCTACAGGCCCATGCTACTAGCCAGGTCCCGCCCACACCCTTTCAAACTGAACATCAAAATGGTACACAATACCGACAGGTTGGTAGGTAAGACACATAGGCAACAGTTAGGCAACTTTATTCCGAAACGTTTCGCCTACACAGTAGGCTTCTTCAGTCGAATACAGAAAGTAGGCAGGAACAGTAGAGATGTGAAGATGTAATCAGTCCATCACCCTTGAAGTCGTAGAATTTGAGGTTGTCAGTCCCTCGGCCTGGAGAAGTTCAGTTCCATAGTCAGGAACTATCAAACTATACAATTTTTATTTCTTTGCAAGTTGTACAAGAATGGTATGCAATACCGACAAGATATTTACACATGTGCAGCATTTGGATATCTTTATTGTAGACGTTTCGCTATCCAGTGGCTTTATCAATACAAACTCTAGGACATAATTGAAGACAGTAGAACTATATACAGAAGATGAGGTAATCAGTCCCTCAGCCTTGGAGTTGGTATGAAGAGCACCGTGGTCGTGGTGTTTATAACTAGTTTTCCCCTTATTTCCTAAATCATGGATTTTTTTCTAATATGTAGTTTCGTTTGCTCTCTTCACACCTTTCATAAACATCTTTAGATACAAAAATTTCCACGGTAACCCAACATAACTTTTATGCATTATTAGAACGGCTCATAGAAAAAACACGCTCAGGTGGAATATTTGTGATTTGTATACCGTATTTGTCAGGTGGTTAGCTTGGGAAGGGAAGCATCCGCTGGTCCATACTGGCTTTGACCAGCTAGTGGAAGCAGGCCTGCCAGCACGGCCTTATCTACTGTTAACACGACTGTTCATTTGACTTTTTTTTATTATTATAAAAATATGCCATATACGGAGTTTTTTTTTCGTATATGCGGGACGCCAGCAACAACAGCCTGTATGACCAGGCAAACACCAACACGTCTTAATAGAATTCTTGGCTACATATCAAGAAATATAAAAAAAAAGCATTCAAATTATACTTCAACCTTGGACATCAGGTAAAAAGGACACAGTGCAACTAATGTGACATTTTATTGTGGCAACTTTTCGCACTCGTGTTCTTTTACTTAACGTTGTAGGTAATTCTCCCAGCATTATTACAACCTTGTATATCCTTGGTAAGGCTTCATTTAGATTATGCTGCGGAGTTCTGGTCTCCCTTTTACAGAATGGACATGAATCTTCTGGAAAACACAAGAGGTTGACGAAAGTAGCCCACATATTAGAGCTTTCCTACCTGGAGGTTACCTGGAGGTTATTCCGGGGATCAATGCCCCCCCGGTCCACGACCAGGCCTCCCGATGGATCAGGGCCTGATCAACTAGGCTGTTACTGCTGGCCGCACGCAGTCCGACGTACGAGCCACAGCCCGGCTGATCCGGCACTGACTTTAGGTATCTGTCCAGCTCTCTCTTGAAGGCAGCCAGGGGTTTATTGGCAATTCCCCTAATGCTTGATGGGAGGCTGTTGAACAGTTTTGGGCCCCGGACACTTATGGTGTTTTCTCTTTAGTGTACAATGGCGCCCCTACTTTTTATTGGCGGCATTTTGCATCGCCTGCCCAGTCTTTTACTTTCGTAGGGAGTGATTTCTGTGTGCAGATTTGGGGACCATTCCTTCCAAGATTTTCCAAGTGTAGATTATGATATATTCTCCCTCCTGCATTCCAACGAGTACAAGTCAAGTGCTTTCAAGCGTTCCCAGTATTAAGGTGCTTGACAGAACTTATACGTGCAGTATAGGATCTCTGTACATTCTCTAGATCTGCGATTTCACCTGCTTTGTATGGAGATGTTAATGTACAGCAGTATTCCAGCCTAGAGAGAACAAGTGATTTGAAAAGGTCATCATGGCTTGGCATCTCTCGTTTTGAAAGTTCTCATTATCCATCCTATCATTTTCTTTGCACGTGCGATCGTGGCACTGTTGTGATCCTTGAAAGTGAGATCCTCAGACATTACTACTCCCAGGTCCCTTACATTATTTTTCCGCTCTATTGTATGGCCGGAGTCAGTAGTATACTCTGTTCTAGTTATTTATCTCCTCCAGTTTTCCATAACGGAGTAGTTGGAATTTGTCCTCATTGAACATCATATTGTTTACCGTTGCCCACTGGAAAACTTTGTTTATATCTTCTTGGAGGTTAACCGCGTCCTCAGCAGATGACAGCCTCATGCAGATCCTAGTATCATCCGCAAAGGATGATACGGTGCTGTGGTGTATATCTCTGTTTATGTCTGATATGAGGATAAGGAATAAGATGGGGGCGAGTACTGTGCCTTGTGGAACAGAGCTCTTCACTATGGCAGCCTCCGATTTAACTCTGTTGACCACTACTCTTTGTGTTCGATTTGTTAGGAAGTTGAAGATCCATCTCCCCACTTTCCCAGTTATTCCTTTAGCACGTATTTTATGGGCTAGGTTGAGGGCACTAAATCTTCTCTCTGATGAAAGGCACAGAATTAAGATGATGTATAAATTAGGTAGGAATAAATAAAGAGGATAAAAGATACCATGCTTAAAATATCTACCCAAGATAAGACTTGTTAGATAAAAAGACACAACTGCACTTGTGTCCATTTACTTAACATATTGTAGGTAATTCTACCAACATTAATACAAGATGGGACTTCCAGCATTGTGTTGAAGTTGGAAGAATTTAGATTTAGAAAGGATATAAGAAAGCTCTGGCATGGTAATATTCATAGATGAGCATATAAGAAACTCCAAAGTAGCATCATTGAAGGGAAGTACTATGTGTAGCTTTAGAAATAGGTTAGACATGTACATGAGCAGGTGGGAGGGTTTGAGTTAGACCTGCATGGCATGGGCCAGTAGACCTGCAATGTTCCTCCTTTTTTGTGTCCCTATGTACTTGAGCCTGGCCCAGGGAGTAGAAAAACTCGAAACTCGTCAAGGCATAAAAATATAAGAAAGGAGCACAGCAGTAGGCCTTTTGGACCATACAAGGCAGTTCTCTCGCCTATCCATGTTTCGAAAGCTATCCAAGGTTTTTGTTTCCATGACTATTACTAGTTTTTTCTACTCGTCCACAACTCTTAATTAGCAAATCATTTCTTTCCATATCCATTGTAAATCCGAGTTTTCCAACTGCAACCCATTGTTGAGTCAAGTCTGATATTTTTAGCATGTTATTCATATCCTTTATTCCTGTCTTCCATTTATACACTACTTCAATCGTATACTCCCCCCCCCCCCCATTCGACACCTTTCCATAGTGTCAATTCAATATCCTCAGTCTATTCTTGTAAAAAAAAAAAAACTTTGATACGTGGGATCAGCTTTGTCAACATTTTCTCTGTGCTTATTCTACAATTCCTTGGTAGATGGCCAGTGTGGTTAAAAATATATATGTACTATATATTTTTCTTGCTGTAATTTCAAGAAAGAAGTGCATCATGATTTAATGTATGTACACATTACAGTACATACAGTGGTACCTCGGGATACAAACAGCTCAAAATTCGAACAATTATGTAAGTGTATTTTTGGGGGGTATGAAATGGATTAATCTGATTTGCAGTATTCCTTATGGGAACAAATTCATTCAGTATCGGTACTTGAACAGCCTTCTGGAACGAAAAAATTTGTATCCCGAGGTACCACTGTATTGCTTTTGTAAGTTACTGTAACATGTCATTTATTTTTCTACAGCTTGTGTTTTTTTACAAGTTTTAAATTTGTGTATATGACACACATTTATACTAGTTTAAACTTTTTCACAGCTATAACACAATAAAGTCATGGTTTCAAAGTGGGAACAGCAAAGTTCACATTGGCCCTGGACTTCACATGGTAGCCGCAGCAGAAGCTGGCATACTCACTCTGGTCATGACAAATCCCATCTGGGTAGTTAAAACAAGGTATGTTTTATTCACTTATGACATCAGGAAATATATTACAAAACAGATGTAGAACCAAGTAATCTCTAGTGAAGATACAATGTTTTACTTAAATAACTGTACAGTATACCGATTTTAAGCACTACTGGTAAATCTGATGGTTAAATTATAACAAATATTGCATGTATTTGTTATTAGTTCAGTAATTTGAATGATTGAGAAGGATTAATAAAGTTTCTTACAGGTTGTGCCTCCAGTACTCAGATGGAGCTGGAGGGAAGGTATTGCAGGAATCGCACAGATACAATGGCATGGTGGATGCTTTTGTGAAGACCTACAAATATGAAGGTGTCAGAGGGCTTTATAAGGTGAGCATTCCCTTGCAACCCTATGGGTTCCAGTGCCTTGTCTTTTACTTTTTTTTTATCTTATTATTAACCCTTAAACTGTCAAAATGTAGATCTACGTTCATGTGTGTAGCACTCCAACCTTGATTTTCCCCATTTGAAAGCATGTAAAAAGAAAAGTAGATCTACATTTGGAACCCCCCCCCCCCCCTGCGCACATGGACATAGATCTATGTTTGGACAGTTTAAGGGTTAATTGCAGGACATGGGCAGGGGCAAGCCATTGAAGATAGCAGTAACACTGTTTTGCATTAAGCACACTTCCCAGTTTTAGTACTTTCTGGCTAGTACTGTACTAGCTTCATAGATGAGGTGTTGTGAAGAGTACACTATAGGCAAAATCCATACTGTTTGAACTGAAAGATGCTATGGAACACTATTGCATATTTTTTTTACACACTTAAATAGTATCTTAAGATGTTTTACTAATATGCAGATGTTGCCGTTCTTGTACCTCCTTTACTGAATGCAGTGCCTCTTGTGACCTTGCTACATGCCATAGACCAATTGTTTACACTCACTTTGATATTTAAATCTCAAACAAGATATTTTCTCTGTTATCAGCCTTCTTGATGCAGTTTTCAAAGGTCATGCTTCACTCTTGTGCACATGATTTGACTTCAGTTTACTGATGCATTCACATTATTGCATTCATTGACTTGTTTGTACAACCTTAACATTACAACTATTATTCCCTTTCTCTTGTGATTTTTTCATATATGTACTTAGTAGCACTGCATAATATCAATAATTCAAATATCAGTATACAGTAGGGCCCCACTTATACAGCAAGTTAGGTTCCAGAATGCAGACATAGCCAGAAAGCAGAATGCCATTTTTCCACTCATAAATGCCACATAAAAAGTTTACACTAACATATATTAAGTTACCAATAGAACTAGGCATTAAAAGCAAGATAAAGTAAAATATACACATGGTACACTCATTACTTACCTTAAAATATTTGTAGTCTTAATGTAGGGTGAGAGGTGAGTAGTATTTATTTGTAGGAAGTCAGGTGTAAGAGGTATGGTAGCCAGCCAGGACACCCCACCCACACATAATATACTATGACATTTAAAGTGCCCCAGAGCGATAAAATGCATATACAGTACATTAATTAAGAACATAAGAACGAAGGAACACTGCATCAGGCCTACTGGCCCATGCGAGGCAGGTCCAAGTCTCCTACCGGCTTAAGGCAATGCACCCAACCTAGTCAGGTCAGGTCACCTTGACTTAAGGGAGGAACACGGCAACCGTCCTGGTAGCACAAGCTAATCAGGTCCAACTCGCACCCACCCACACCCACTCATGTATTTATCCAAATGAGAGAGAGAAATGAGAGAGAGAGAGAGAGAAATGAGAGAGAGAGAGAGAAATGAGAGAGAGAGAGAAAATGAAGAGAGAGAGAGAAATGAGAGAGAGAGAAATGAGAGAGAGAGAAATGAGAGAGAGAGAGAGAAATGAGAGAGAGAGAAATGAGAGAGAGAGAGAAATGAGAGAGAGAGAGAGAAATGAGAGAGAGAGAGAGAGAGAAATGAGAGAGAGAGAGAGAAATGAGAGAGAGAGAGAAATGAGAGAGAGAGAGAAATGAGAGAGAGAGAGAGAAATGAAGAGTAGAGAGAGAAATGAGAGAGAGAGAGAGAAATGAGAGAGAGAAATGAGAGAGAAGAGAGAGAGAAATGAGAGAGAGAGAGAGAGAGAGAGAGAGAATGAGAGAGAGAGAGAAATGAGAGAGAGAGAGAAATGAGAGAGAGAGAAATGAGAGAGAGAGAGAGAAATGAGAGAGAGAGAGAAATGAGAGAGAGAGAGAAATGAGAGAGAGAGAGAGAGAAATGAGAGAGAGAGAGAAATGAGAGAGAGAGGAGAAATGAGAGAGAGAGAGAGAGAGAGAGAAATGAGAGAGAGAGAGAGAGAGAGAGAAATGAGAGAGAGAGAGAAATGAGAGAGAGAGAGAGAGAGAAATGAGTAGAGAGAGAGAGAGAGGAGAAATGAGAGAGAGAGAAATGAGAGAGAAGAGAGAGAAATGAGAGAGAGAGAGAGAAATGAGAGAGAGAGAGAGAGAAATGAGAGAGAGAGAGAGAGAAAATGAGAGAGAGAGAGAGAGAGAGAGAGAGAGAGAGAAGAGAGAGAGAGAGAAATGAGAGAGAGAGAGAGAGAGAGAGAGAGAGAAAATGAGAGAGAGAGAGAATGAGAGAGAGAGAGAGAGAGAGAAATGAGAGAGAGAGAGAAATGAGAGAGAGAGAGAGAGAAAATGAGAGAGAGAGAGAGAGAGAAATGAGAGAGTGAGAGAGAGAGAAATGAGAGTAGAGAGAGAATGAGAGTGAGAGAGAGAGAGAATGGAGAGTGAGAGAGAGAGAGAAATGAGAGTGAGAGAGAAATGAGAGTGAGAGAGAGAGAAATGAGAGTGAGAGAGAGAGAAATAGAGAGAAATTGTTATTGCTGTTCTTACTGCTGAACAGCGGTTTGGTGACGATGAAGGTAGCATAGATAGCAATGATACGTTCTTCGGAGGCTTCTTCGTTTATTGTTAATGTCGTGGTGGGTTGCACAGGCTTGTGTGTTTGTGCCCATGGCCCGGGCAGGGCCATCCCACGAGAGAGAGCTGGGAGGCCTTGTGTCTTCCTGCTAGGCCGCTGTGCGAGTGAGGGAGAGGCATGGGCATACTGAAGTGGGAAGGCCTAGGTGGCAGCACCAGCATAGCGCGAAATATGAACTAAGCTGGCAGACAGCATGGGCTGTCTGTGCAGACAGTACAGGCTGTCTACATACGCTCGGCCACCTACCGAGCGTCGTCCCGACGCGACAATACTGGTGGTAAAAGAAACTCGGTCTCTCTCTCGTAGGAACAGGGCACAGAACACAAAATAAAAACATATATATATATACACATGGACATGGAAAAAAAACTTCCTACAGGGAGGGAAGAAAAAACATGTGGGGTGTGCTAAACATCGTGATCAAAGGCAATGAGCGTCGAAGGGCATCACTGCACGCCTTCCTGCGTCTGGACAGATACTGCAACACGGGAGACATCGCTGCTGCTGAGCTGTGACGTAACAGGTTATGGTCTCCTCTGGAACGGTGAAGCAGTCATCGTAGGAGTCGCTGCAGGTTTCACTCAACCTGGGGCACAACATGTTTGTGCCCTCGAGTGAGGCGTCGACAAAACTCGGCAACTGGGCAGGGCTTCTGGCAAACGACTCAGGAGGACACTTCTCGACTGGTAAATGGGCGCTGGGCTGTCACTGCCGGCGAGCGTGGAGTGAGTTGTGGGGCGAGTCGTGGCAGAGACGACTGGGCGAAACATCTGGGAGTCGTAACATCATACACCAGACTGCAGTGAGAGAGCTAGCAGTCAAAGTGACATCTTCTTTGTGCAGGCTGCCCCACTGAAGCTTGTGACACAGGCTGACACCAAGCGCCTGCCGAAGGGCTGGCTGCGGCTTGACGAGTATCATCTCTCGACAGTTGAAGTTATAGCAGAGGTTAGCCTAAGCATCCCCAGACTTGTTTCTCTACATATAACTGCACTCTGACGGTCTGGAGGTGAAGTGAAACAAATCTCGATGGGAATCGTAGCAGGTACGATTCTGCAGAACATCACGAGCGACGAGCATAAAAGCTTTCTGTACAAGAGGGCTCATACGCTCGGGCTGTCTGATAGCTGTCAAACACACTGGTCACAAGGGTGACTTAACACAGTGGTGTTACTCAGTCTGGCTGGCTCAGACCTCACTGGACCCACGGAAACTTTAAAAACACGCCGCTGTACATACGGTACAACATGGCTTAACTAGCAAATGATGCTTTTCTGTGCACAAAACTGACACTAAGACATATAATAAAATGTGAGAACACTGACTGAGAGGAATTAATTAACACACGACGTATATTTTCTCTCAATCTTCTCGACAATACTGAAATAATTACTGAACACTTGATGGTGACATCATGTGATGTCAGGCGTGATGTCGCAAGGTGATGTATTTGCACTAGTAACAAAAGGGATCATATCCAGGTCTTTGATGAATTTGTAAGATTAATCCTTCAAAAGCTAGGATTAACAGAGTAGTACACCAGTGTAGATTTATAATATTGTAGAGAAGTGGTATTGAACCGAAGTTCAACCCTCTTAATAGCACAAATCCCTTTGAATTAAACTGCCAGTATTTCAAATGTTTGTCCCACTTTTCTCATTTCTTCTCCTTTTTACACTTCATTAACCTCTTTTACTTTCCATATACTCCACTCAACTTGCATCACTTCTTCATAAAAGAACTTGTATGCAAACTTTTTCTCTTGTCGCTCTCTGCCTCATTGTTCCACCAATCGTTCCTGTTCCTTCCTGCACCCACCCTCCTATGTCCACAAACTTCTGCTGCACACTAATTAGATCTTCCTCATACCTCTTTAACCTCCTCCTCATTACCTGTACTCTCACTACCCAATCTTTCTCCCAACAGTTGCTTACATCTTACCCTAACTACTGCCTCCTTTAGTAAAATACTTTCACTTCTCACTTTATTCATTGATGTCTCTTTTCTTCTACTCCATCTACTTCTTGCTCTCACTGTAGCTACAGCTACAGTGTACTCATCAACCTTTTATCCAAGAAACTGCTGTCCTTTTGCCCTGTATCATATCTCTTAAGAAGGGGATAAATAAGTATAAGAGGTGTGATACAGAGCTTAAGAACGGCAGTTTGGTGGATAAAAGGTTGATTTGGTAGGCTTCTGGATATGCAAGTTCCAGAGTAGCAACATGTTACCTTTTACCAAACTTTTTGATGTAAAGTTCAATTAAGAGACCCCTAGCACTCCAAACTTATTGTACCCTCTATAACAGTAGTGGTGTGTGTTTTTTTTTTTTTTTTTTAGTAAACAAACCAACCATATCCCACCGAGGCAGGGTGACCCAAGGAGAAAAATTATTTTCTTCTTAAATTTAGTAATGGATACAGGAGAAGGGATTACTAGCCCCTTGCTCTCAGCATTTTAGTCACCTCTTAAGACACGCATGGCTTAGAGGAAGAATTCTGTTCCACTTCCCCATGGAGATGAGGAAATGAACAAGAACTAGTAAGAAAATAGAAGAAAACCCAGAGGGGTGTGTGTATGTATGTATGCTTGCACATGTATGTGTAGTGTTACCTAAGTAGAAGTAGCAAGACTTACCTGAAACCAGCAATCCTACTATCATGTAAAACAATTGCAGGTTTGTTTTGCTCACTTGGCAGGATGGTAGTACCTCCCTGGGCAGTTGCTGTCTACCACCCTACTACCTAGGTGCTAAAGTAATTGAGGGTTGCAAAAATGTAAATCTTCATTGTTTCACACAATTATTTGCACACCTGTGTTAGGAAGCTAAAGTTCTTTCCACAGTGGAAATTGATTAGATTTTTGATGCATTATTGGGTTTCCTTAGTATAATCATTGATTTGTTTTCCAGGGATTTGTTCCTGGCATATTTGGAGTCTCTCATGGGGCACTTCAGTTTATGGCCTATGAAGAAATGAAGGCACACTACAATAAATATCGCTCGCTTCCCATTGATGCAAAATTGGTGTGTTCTTGCAGTTTGGTCCTGAAGAAGAAAAAAATTCTTGTGATAAATATACTGAAGTTTTACTTTCATGAAATATAACAGTATGAACAGAGAACAATAATAGACTTGAATGAGCTACCCACTGCATGAAACCTTGATTTATGTATTTCTCTCTTATTCCAGACCACTGCTGAATACTTAGTTTTTGCATCACTCTCCAAACTGTTTGCAGCTGTCACAACCTATCCTTACCAAGTACTACGGGCACGAATGCAAGACCAGCATGCTCATTATGACAACTTGCGCCACTGTATTCGTGAAACATGGAGGTACGAGGGGGTAGTTGGATTCTACAGGGGAATGTCTCCCTATCTCGTTCATGTTATGCCCAACATATGCTTGGTGTTTCTTATATATGAAACAGTGGCAGGTAGCTCTTGAAGACGAAGAAAAAACATTAATTTGTTAAACAGTATGAAAGTATTTTCCCCTTCATTATTGCAGAGAATAAAAATCTGTCCATAAAGTGAGCAGATATAATTCTCATCTTAACTTCAGCTTGGATGTAGTTTTTTTCAATTTGTAGATAAACGACAATATCTCGGTGTAATGCTTCCATATAATGTTGGTAAATGTCTTAGTTTAGTGAAAGATGTAGTTTTCAAAAATTTGAATAATGATTACCTTCAGTGTACTGAGACATTCATAGTTTGTCAGCGTGTCATGTAGATGTGCTGTGTTTTTATTTGTGTATTTTGAAGATAAGAATGGCAAATTTCAGTCAATAGCATCATACAATTAAAAATTATATTATAAAATTACACAAGTAAAAATACCACCACTTCTGGCATTTGTTAGTCTTGGGTGCTCTTAATGAGCACTAGCAGATTCCAAGATGTGAACATGTGTGTGCCAGGGATCAAACTTGGGCTGGCTGATAAGCAATTTGATGCAGCACTTTATATAGCCTGAGTATTAAAGCAGAAAGCCCTTAGAATTATTTAAAGAAAAAGAAGTTTCACAGATTTAGTTACTTTATTATAGACCCCATACCCATGTGTTGATCAGTAACATCAACATATGGAGTTGCTTATGCCATTACCTGAAGACTAGTAGTAATAATCATTAGTAATGATAATTATAAGAGCTTGTCAAGTTTTGTTTCAAATTACAACATTCTACTGATCAGCAGTGTACGTACGTATTGTGGTCTAGGTAGCTCATTATGGCATAAGCTGTACAGTAGAATCTGTTGGAATTTTTTTCTTTAGGGGGCTGGAAATTGGCTATTGTATTAAAAAAAATCTGATCTTCGCCCATGTCTTATTGTTTTGTATTTCTAATTCAGTCTATAGAATGGTTAACATATTGCTTGATACAGTTGCCAGGAAGCTCCACATGGGTCATGATTTCTTTAGTAATGTCATTATGGGGATTTAGGCTTTTTTTGTATATTTTTGTACCTACCTGCAATTAACTGAGTTATAGAAAGTGGCTGCTTTCTTATGAAGACTTACTCTTCTCATTTAAAACAAATATCATTCCTCTTCCCATCCTTTACCATAATTCTTTCACTAAGTAAATGTATATTTTAACTACAAGGTTTGTATAGTGGATCAAAGACTAAACGGGTTAATAGCTTCTCTTCTCATGTTGATGAAATGTTACTTGCAAGTTGAAGTTAACTAGGGTCCAATTTTATCATTTAAACTTTTCCCGACACCCAGTAATACATATTATTCTTGATGAATAAGTTTGCATTAGTAAAGGCAAAGTTTGTTTAAATATTTGCTGTAATTTAAGTAAGGTTAGTGAGTAAAACTGACTTTGGTAAGAGTGTCTGTGGAGAATTTAAGTAATACTTTGATATTACAGTGCATTGTTTAGTGCTTATCAGGCATTTAATATCTATATGCCAGCTGTCTTGGCTGGCATACAGATATTCATTCATTTAGGATTTTGTAAATTTCCCCTACTTATTATAAATTGGATCTTCCAGTTAAAATTAGTTGATTTCATTGGTTAATTGTATCTTGTTTGTCATTTCATTTTGTTGTTTTATTAATTATACATCTACAGTACATATAATAGGCTTATCATTAATTGCTCTGAAATCTGTTCTTGAGCTAAATCAATACAATGGTCAAAAAAATCTGGAAACTGCAGGTCAGTTGTATTGAAGTGGTGACAGCTAATTCTGATTCAAGTAGGAGTTGTTAGAACATACTCCTTGTTTGATAAATGGTTTATCTCGTTAGCCCCATTTTTTTTTTCTTAATTTGCCGTGATACCCAAGTTTCTTTTTCTTTGTTTGAGAAACCTTGATAAAATAAGTGCTGTAATCAGTCTTGTGCAGCAAAATAATTTGAGCACTGAAATAAAATATTTTAAACTATATTTAATTTAAAAAACTGTGACACTTTCTCTGGAGAACAAGCTATTGTTTTGTGTGTATTCTCACTTGTAGTAATTTTTTTTGCGATTGCCCTGTATTATTTTCTTGACCATGAGATAAGTGAAGTATTCAGTCTTCAATAAGAGGGTGCAGTTAGATGTTTATCCTTATTGCCCAAAAAAAAAAAAGGTGTTATCCTTTTTCTTTGTCAGACAAATGTAATATGTTAATGCCAAATCTAGTCAAAACTTTTCTTGTACAGTCTGAGCTTAGTTCATGTATGTTTTATACTATCTTGAACTGAATGTGGTATATAATAACATCAATGGGAAAACAATACTTTCCAGTATTTTCATAAGTGATATTTATTTTTGAATGGAAGTGACCATGTGTTCAAGAAAAGATGTACACTTCGAATTCTTGGATGCTATATATTGATTCCTGATATTTCTTAATGGTATTAATTCATAATATGTAGTATGCTGAACTTGACAAAGGCAGTGCCATTTTTAACAGGTGTTATTTTTGAGGTCTGTGTATTTGGGGGGTGGTCTTAAAGTGCAAATCACTGGAGTTATCTATAGATTTTTTTTTTCCTTTGCATGTCAGTTACATACATTGTATTATTTTCAAGTGCTGTTCAAACTTTGGCAGCATCTCTATTTTGACAATGAATGCTACATGTCATATTGGGGTAACAGTGATGTGCTAATCCTATAAGTTAATGAAGGTCCTTGTGAGAAGGAGACAGCTGTGATATATTAAAATGTTTTCCTAGCTAGCTTAAACCCTGTCCAAAAATAGTTGATTGGTATTGCCAACTAATTGTGGTTAGTATGATTTAATGACCCCTTTGCAGGAAGTTAGTGTATTCTCTCAACAGTTTACTCACAAGACTTAGCTTTATATTTTTACTTATTTATTTCTGTATATATGTGTGTGACTGCCATAAATATTTTGTAATATGTATATATTGTATATACACTGTATTATAACATTATTTACATAAGCTGTTGTCAGAGCAGAGGTGTAATGTGGGAGTGTTGTTGGTTACTACACCCTCCCAATTTCTTACTACCTCTTGTGAAGTGCTTCACGTATTTCTCCTTGTCCAGGGCAATAAATTACATACTCAATAGGTATCTTGTCACCTGTTTATGGACACGGTTAATGAAACGATATCAGTGATATTTTATAATTAAATATGAAGTCTTAAATATTTGGAGTTTCTTTATCCCTATAGTATATTGCGGTCTCCTCTTCACAAAGACCTGTACAAGGTAAGACTTGCAAGGTTATAAAAGAGTACAGTGGACCCTTGGCTAACGATATTAATCCGTTCCTGAGAGCTCATCGTTAGACGAAATTATCATTAGCCGAATTAATTTTCCCCATAAGAAATGGAAATCCAATTAATACGTTCCAGACAGCCAAAAGTATTATGGAAAAAAAAAAAAATCATGAAATATACATTTCCCTACAAAGAAAACAATGAGACATGCACAGTAACTATATAAATAAATGTTAAAATGACACTTCCCTTTATTGAAGAATACTGATGAGTGATGACACTTTTTCTTGAACACTGGGATTTTCAGAGTGATACACAAGTAAAGGCTTCACTTTGCAATCCACACTAGCATTACAACAAAACAAGAAAGTTAGCCTGTCTTTCATAGGCTTGTCCTGGGGGTGCCTTTTCCTCCTGAGTAATGTAGGTCCTGTTTGGCATTTTCTTGCAGAACAGGCCTGTTTCCTCACAATTGAACACTTGTTGGGGGTTGGAATTTTTCAGCTTCGCCATGCCTTACCACAGTGTGTATGCCACTATGATTCTTAAATCTCTCAAACCAACCTTTGCTGGCCTTAAATTCACCAATATGAGCACTAGCTCCAGGCATTTTTTCCTGTTCACCTGGGTGTTAGTCGACTGGTGTGGGTCGCATCCTGGGGGACAAGATTAAGGACCCCAATGGAAATAAGTTAGTCCTTGATGACTCACTGACTTTCTTGGGTTATCCTGGGTGGCTAACCCTCTGGGGTTAATTCTTTCTTGGTAATTGCTTCTCGTTAAGCCACACCAACAAGTCTCTCCACATCTTCGAGTAGTACAGCTGACGGTGGTGCAGCAACAGCTGATCAGCTAGCTGATGGTGGTGCAGCAACAGCTGATGGTGGTGCAGCAGCAGCTGACTGTGGTACGATAATATTTCTCACCCTTTTTACCACAGGGTTGGCACTAGAAGCTTTCTTTGGGCCCATGGTGGCTTATTTAGCAGTTACAAGCACTATAAACAATGGAATAATACAAAATGTATCGAATGTATACATGAAACCGGCCACCCTGGCTTGTAAACAATGACGGCAGGGCAGCTGAGGCACTCAGGCTAGACGGACAGGTTCAGGACGAATTGCATTCGGCTAGTTTATTTTATTGTTAGCCAGGCCAAAATTTTTATGCTCAAACGCTTCGTTGGGCAGATTTAACGTTATGCGATGCATTTGTTAGCTGATGGTCCACTGTATATAGACCCTTTCAGGTTTTGCGCTTATTTTGATTCTATAATTATTATAAAGTACAGAGTCATGCTCCCAAATTTGGAACCATCCTAATTTGCAGACTTTTTTTTTTTTACCTTAATGGCTTCCTGTAAATGGCTTAAATTGTTAGTTTTATTTCACAGTATCCATATTTTTGGCTTGGCATGTTCCAAAATTAAACTGCCAAAGGATTTTATTCAAAAAGTGATCTTGAATTTTCCAGCCAAAACCCTCTTCATAGACATTTCTAGAATTCTCTTAACATCAATAATGTTTGAAGAGCCTTTGAAACACACTGAACCCAAATCTGCAAAAAATATTACCGAGACAGAATTTAGTAATACAGCATTTGCATGGCTCTCGGGGAGCCTTATCCTTGTGACGTAGCTTCAA